TGTGTCTGTTTCAAACACCACATCCTGAGCCTCAGCCACCACAGGCCCTTGAGATGATTCCAGGCTTCTGACTTAATCCGCCTCCAGACCCACATCTTTCTCTGGTGGGTCCTCAGGGAAGACCACTGCAATATTGGTGACGGTGACCTGCAGGACCAGCAGGACCTCCACATGACCGTCCTCAGGCCTGGGCTCTGTGACCATCATGGGCTACTTCTTCCGCCTGCTGCAGCTTTTCTCCACCTGTGTGGCCTTCTCACTGATGGCCAGTGTGGGCAACTGGAGGGCAACCACAAGTAACTGGTCCACGTTCATCTTTTGCTTCTGCCTCGTCATGACTCTCATCGTCTTCCTAGTCGAGTTATGTGAGCTACAGTACCGCTTCCCCTTTCATTGGGGCAACTTCCTCATCACCTGGGCCTGTTACTTTGCCCTCTTCTCCCTCTCGGCCTCCATCATTTTTGCCACCACCTATGTCCAGTTCTTCCCCTGCGGCCCCCACTGGGACCAAGCCATCACCGCCTCTGCTTTCTGCTTCATTTCCTCTATGGTTTATGCCGCAGAAGCAATCTGGATCTGGTCCTGGCCCCGGACTGGTGATTTCTCCGGCTATTTGGGCAGTGTCACAGGCCTACTCAAGGTGCTGGAGAACTTGGTGGCTTATGTCATCTTCGCCTTCATCAGCAACACCGACCTGTACCAGCACCAGCCGGCCCTGATGTGGTGCGTGGCTGTCTACTCCATCTGCTTCATCCTGGGAGCCGTGGTCATCCTGCTGAACCTGGTTGACTGTGAGAACAGGCTGCCCACCTCCTTCTCCCCTTTCCTGTTGGGACTGACCCTGCTCTCCATCCTCTTCTATGCCAGCGCTCTGGTCCTCTGGTCTCTCTACCAGTTTGATGAGAAGTTCGGTGGCCAGCCCCAGCGGTCCAGCGACGTGAGCTGCAGTGATGGGCTCACCAACTATGTGTGTGCCTGGGACCAACGACTGGCTGTGGCCATCTTGACAGCTGTCAACCTGCTGATTTATGTGGCTGACCTGGTGAACTTGGCCCGCCTGTATTTTGTAGAGATAGAGGATCAGCCCACAGCCTCCTGATTCCCTCTTTTCAGTGGATGTTTCTACACCAGGTTCTGACGTCCTCTTCCTGTCCCCGCCCTCCCCTCCTCACATCCTCCCCAGTTCACCTCGCACTCACTCTTCTCTGTTTCCTTCCCTTCTTCTGCTCTGTCTCCCCTTCTGTTTTCTTCAGTGGCTCATATCTTGTTTTGCCTCTTTCCCTTTCTGCTCTCTCCTACCTTTCATGCTCCTTGGCCCTTTTCTGGTCCTCCTTCGTTTTCTCATCTGCTTGTTTTCTGACCGCCTCTTCCCATTTCCCTTCTTCTGATGAACTGGGAGCCCTGAGACTTCTTCCTTCTCTGCCCCCCGCCCCTCCCCACTCCTAAGGTGCCGAGCTCCACATCACACACATACCCTGGGCCTCCGGAGGGGCCTCATTTCCAAGGCAAGCCTGTCGCCCTGGCTGTGTGTGTGTATTTGGGAGTGTGGGGGTGAGTTGCTAGGCATTGAGCCCCCTTTATCCTAGTGGAGGGGGGTGTACAATGCAACTTTCCTTAAAGATAAACAAAAATCTCTGGATTTTTCCAGTGGCAGGAGGCTTGAAGCACAGACCCTGGGTCCCTAGGCCCCACCTGGTGCTCAGCCCCACCTGAGATTGTCTCCGGAATTTTTGCAGGTTTACTACAGCCCACTGCCTAGCTGCCACGCAGACAAAAAAAGTTGCCTGCCATTTCTGTAAATGATGAAAGTTGCCAGCCATTAAGCTTTAAGCCACAGCAGCGGGCCTCCAGTGGCACAGCCTGACGGCAATTCAGGATTGAGAAAAACAAGACATCAGCTTCAAAGAGTTAAGATGTATAACAAAGGAATAAATCTTTTTTTAAAAATCATCTCGCTGACTTTCAATTTCAACATAATTTTTAGATTTGCATGATATTTTTGCCTAAGTGTATGTGTCTTTTATGGATTTCCTCATTGATTGCCTCTCCTCACTACCCTTCACCAAATAAAATGTTGGCTTCATTGGGACATCGACTTCTTCCATCTTGATTTTCTCTCATTTTCCCAAAGCAAGAATAATTTCTTTACACATTATTTAATCAGAAAAACAAAGTCTCAAAGTAAAAAACGCTCCCAACAACCCTATGAACAGACTATAGACTGTTTCAGAGTCTGATAATCTTTAAGCAAGTTGACTTTTTAAAATAAACTTTAAAATTTTAGAATAGTTTTAGATCTACAAAACTGACCATGTGTGTGTTCCTTCCATTTGAATGTGGCCCCAGTTCAGCAGGAAGCAGCTAGAGAAGGACACCTGTTTCCCCATTTCCATAGAGCTAACAGTGGGGATTTGAAGGAGTAGAAAACAAATTAAAAAAACTGGCTTCCCTGCCATTAAGCCC